TCAGGAAAAAGAGATGCATCACAAGAATAATCATATGTATCCAAAGATTGTTTAAAATCCTGTATCTCCTCTTGATTTAATGCTTTATCACTATAAACACAACGCCATTTTTCACAATCACCACATGTAATATAATCACGAATTTTTTCACTAACTAACACACTTTTTGGTACTTGTTCAGCATTGGCTTGATTAAATTACAATGTTGAACGGAATTCTTCACTAATTTCTGTTCCATAAACAGTATGAAATGAAAAATAATGATCTGAATTTCCTATAAAAATTTTTATAAGTAAGTCATAATATTAAATTATTAATACAAATAAAAATAATATAATATACCTTGTGCTGGAATTGGATCAGGCAGAAAATGTAAATCATCAAAAATTGATTGTGAAAGACATATTAGTGTACAAATAACACATGATGAATTCTGACATTTTTTTATCTAAAAAAAATAATACAATAAGATAGATAATATTAAGTATAAATAAGCTGTATAATTGTTAAAATATAATCATACTTGAAAGGAATATGCACGTTCGTGGCAATGAGTTTTCATAAATCCAATTAATTCTTTATGACATGTTAATTGAACTTGCGTAGTATCATTACGAGTCAATAAAGAATCAATCTTTGACATAAACTATTGTAAATTTTATATAAGCTTACAATATATTAAAATTAAATTAAATAAAATAAAATTTTAATACCTGAAATAAGTCATTAATATTATGTTCACTTGCAGCATTATAACATTTAAAATAATGATCTTTCAAAATCAATCTTTCAGAACGACTATGTAATAAATTTTGAATATCTTTAATGCATTCTTGTAATTCTGTTTTTAAATTAGAATTTTTATTTGCTTTTTCACGAATTTCATCAAGTGTATCAACTTTATCAAAAAGTGCTTCTAATTCTTCACTCATTGTATTTCGCTTAATTGCTACATTTTGAAGCCCTAAATTTAAAATGCTCATTATTATTTCTGCTAGATTTGTCCAACTATAATGAGGTACTATCCATACTGCAATAAGCATATCATAATCTTCACTTAGAAAAAGACTAATTAAAGCAACTTGAACTGAACCATAAGTACATCTGTGATCTGACCCACCATCAGTATAAAGACACAAAATTGGCGAAATAGTATGATGCATATATTTTGTGTTAATGATATTATGAAATTTAGTTGTATGTCGAATAGCATTACTTGATTCAAAAACAGTATTTTTAAATGATACAAAAACTTCTCCACTATAAAATCCACCTGATATATCTTTTGGAATTGAAATAAAAAAAATAACTGAAGGTATAAGAAAAAGCTTGGTAAAATCATGATCAGCTACACCTAAATCATTATTTCATGCAGTTAATGATTGACGATTGCGTATTCCAATAGAAACAGGTACATCTTCTTCAATAGGAACCTTATGTTTATCATCAGCTGCTGATATAAAACATACCCATTGTTGATATTTAATTGAAAATTCACGTAAATAATGAAAAAGTGCTGCACAATAATGAGCATCTACACTTTTTTTGCGAAGAAGTCTATCTTGTACTTTAAATTTAACTTGATATCTTCCTGTATATTATATAGCTTTTAATGTTATAGGATTTGTTGGCCAAAATTGTAATCGAATCCATTCATATGATAGTATATAAATTGTTGCTGAAAAAGGTTCACCATACTTAATATGTAATCTTGTTAAAATTATATTATGAAGATCACATTGTTAACGGAAGAAATTACAACTCCAAATATCACGTGAGATATGTCTATCAATAATGATCTCACATTAGATGATGTCACTACTGTATCACACAGTGATCAGCAGTAATTTCTGTTTCTTTTGTTACGTCTGTTCCCTCTGTATTTTCTATACAGTCTGTTTAC